ACACAGACAGACAGACAGAGGGACGGACAGACGGACAGACGCGAGCGCTTCATATATAGTGAGGATCGATATTAACGTTTCTGGCAAGGTGAAATAAGATGTGGCGTGCCGAGGTGTTGAGATTAGTCAAGCTGAGATTTTACAATCTCTCGCGACTTCTCTCGAATTCCGCCAACGATATGCCAATAGTGAAGCAAACTTCGCTCTTTATTACTGAAAAAGGGCAAATCCTCTCGTCTATCGAGTAGTAAATGACGATCGCCACTCCACTGGTCCACATAAGCAAGGCTTATTGGAAAAACGTGAGCATTGCTTATGTAGTTCGGGTGGAATGGCGATCTTGCCGTCACGCTGCTTTGGGAGCGTCAAGAGGAACGTGTACAAAGCAGTGATTGGGCCACAACGTTTACCGCAGCGAACGAGAGCCCGTAAGACAATGACACTCAGCGGCAGTGAGAATGCTGATATGAGGCTGCGGGTAAGCACGACTCAACCGAGGCACGAAGTTGTCACGACAATCAAGCAAACTGACAAGACTAGTTGTCCAGCCAAAGATGGAAAAGCAGCGCTTGCGATGGTTGGGACAACGAGAAGGCCGCGGGATAGCTTGACAAGAGAAGCAATGGGGTTTGAATTTCGAGGGAAGCGACCACGAGGGCATCGGAGAAAGGTGGCGGAATGTAATCAGGAAGAGCCTTGTCGAATGCTAGGTGAGCAGAAGATGCCGTAGAACGAAGGAAATGGCAACGACTAAAAAGAATAGCGAACCGCACAGCTAAGCTTCTGTTCTGGGCGCATCACTGCCAGATGTAGTTTGGTGATTTACAACAAAGGTGCATATTTTTATTGACTCGATTACATAACTTGAACCAATCGACCGTCAGTAGATAATACCCTAATCTGAGACTATCAGAGAACAAAGAATCATTAGAATCTTTGCAATCATCTTGTACTTTAACTGTCATCTGCGAGCGGGTCCGCTAACTCACAGTCTCGCCCCGGTCTGAGGCAAGCAAGAGTAGTTGACGGCTGCGGCGACAAGATCGACTCCACAACGGCACCGTTTTATACCGCGCTCGGAAGCGGTCACATATGTGACCATATCATGAATAGAGAATTCATGACACTCCCCAGCAGTGCATCCTCCCCGCGACTGTACTTTATCTTGTGCTGAACTTTTGGATTCATTTGAGTTTATTCTCCTTGGTACTTCATTAGACAAAAAACATATATCAATGTGCTAGAAAGAAAACCAGTACATGTTTCGGTCAACCTCAAGCAACAGCATATGGAACAAATCGCCATAAAGAAATCGTTACTACGCTTTTAACATAAAGAATCGTCACTGCTTTTGACGAAACCTATTAAATAAACTACCGTGAAAAATCGTCACTGTGCTTTCAGTGAAAATGATAATAAAAGTCGCACAACAGATTCAAATTTATTTCACGCGAACTTGATCAGTGCTGGAACTTGAACGGGCAGAAAGCGGAATGGTAGGTTGCCATTTGGCTTTCTTTTTTTCCACCGAGCAAAAATGGCAAGGATCGTGTTTCCTGCAGGAGATCACTGTGTGGCTCGCCTTATGAAGGCAACGTTCGCATAGGTTTTTTAAATTGAGTTGTTCACGCCTATCGAAGAGACAAATGCAGTTGCGGCAATCTGATGCAAAATGTTTCTCTCGCGAAACGGACAAGTGTGTTCGTTTCCCGATGGACCTTTGAATTTATTTGTATTTAAAGTTTGTGGTGGCTGTCATGCCTGGCCACCGGGGAATAATTCTTGCACCAAGCTGTCTAGGCTTTTAACCAGAACTGATCTTTCTAAATTATTATTACTTAGCTCTTTGAAACACTCTTGAATGTTCTTGTCCAATTTCTCGCGGAACTCGTAGAGGCGTGCCTTGATTAACAGTTACAAGCCTTTATTGGAGCCAATTTCATGATGTGGTCAATTTCTTTGAACGCGTCCTTGAATCTTCTATCTCCTCGTCCTACTCCTTGAATCGAGCAAGTGACTGGCGAGTAAAATAGCCACTGGCCTCTTGCCTTCATTTATGTTAGCTTTTTCAGCTCAAGACAGCGCCGAACAGAACCGAGTGCCAAAGATGCGTCGCCGTAAGAAGAAAACGTCTCCAGCCCGGAAGATTACCCACTTCTTGTTCGGCTACCCGGAAGGACCTGACGAACCACCTGAGGAGATTCTACGGTATACGTCGAAACCGAAACATCTTTTGATACGGTGTGTGTGCTGTTGTTTGGGCTGTTACATTAACGCTTACTTAGATGACAGAGACAAGACACAAGACGTGATTGAGACTTTACTGGACAAGACATGGGTATAGTGTGCACTAACTTGAAACACGTGTGGCGCGGCTGTGCGACGCGGCTCAGACCCAGAGCCCGAGTCACATAGCGACGTTTCTAACCGGGTGTGTCCTTTTTGGAAAGTTTGACAAAATGAAGTGTTCGCGTTGTTTCTACCAGGTCTTGAATTTTTAATTGCACCGAGTTCGATTTTTTTGTGAATGCGACTTGCATGTGACTTTTATAAAGTCGGAATCTGGCTCAATACCTTTTTATTCCGGTTATTGTTGACCATCCAAATTGTTTAGCCTAAGATAGAGATTGATCAAACGTGCAAACATTGGTTGAAATCCATCTTTTGAGACGAAGCCACCCACCGAACGTATTTTCATCTCTTGTGATGACTACATTCACACATTTTTCCGGTAGGCCAGCCATTGTCAAAGGCCCCGCAGTCGCAAGTATCATCACTCAACTAGTTTCTACAGCTTTCACCGTAGAATTGCTTCTTCGTAGACTTGCTTGCAATGCGTATGCTGGATAGGACTACTTCACTGGCTTATCCTTTGATCGGTGACTTGCTTATTGTAAAAACTATCTGAATCGTCAATGTCTACGAGAAGGGGTCAACTGCATCACTTCCCAATTTTGTGGTGACTACGTAGATGGAGTGACAAGAAGCGTTAGTAGCTAAAGATAATCAGAAATGGGAGCTATGGCGTTTCACCTCTCTCCGTTTCACCTTCACCTTTCACTTGTCCAGAGGCTCAAATGAAACTCGATAGGAGCTGGATGAAATGCTAAGCTGACACCTCTTTCACCTCTTCAAATAAATAGAGGACCAGTCAATTCCGAGGTGGACTAAACCTCTAAGGTCAATCACAATGAATGCCTGTTGGTCTGCCTCATCTTCATTATTACTTAAAGGCACGTTTCACGATAATTTTGGGTAATCCAGATTATGATGGAAAGTAAAAGGTAAGACGGAAAATAGTGAAGGCGAAGAGACTGCGTGAATCGGTGTTTCCAAAGTGAAAAAAGGCTCCTGAAAATATTCAAAAAAGGGGCTGGACGAGAATGAGATCAGAAAAATGAAGAAAAATGGGGCGTTTGGACGATCTGTACAATGCGTATCATTGCGTACGTGGGGGTTCTGGTGCGAATAGCTGACTACGGTATGCAAAAATTCATTCACTCATAAGCATATGTTAACAAAAAAACCCTAGTCACAGCAAAAGTAGCCTGCCTTTTTAACCTCTTGGGGTAGAAAATCAAACAAGGGATGGCAGCAGCAAAATGAATATTAGAGAATAAAAGAACAGAAGAAAAACATCGCCTAATCACTTGGCTATCAGCTGATTGTGTCCTAGAACGAATTTTATTGCAATCTGTATCACCTCGACACGAGTCTAACGACATTACATAGTCGGTCGAGGGGCAGGAAGTGAGGGCGATCCGGGATGCTCCCACTATGCCCTAGCTTTTGAGTTTTGGGACTCGAGCGTCCTTCCTGTTACCCTTGGGAGCCACTGGGTATTCCGAGGGGAGAACTCAGAAAGCAGTTTTATCGTGAACTGTGCCTTTAGGAAAAGTAACCGAATAGTTCACTGGATAGATACTGTGCGTGATGATATCATCATCAAACATCAAGAGTTTGTACGACTATCGAGAGTTCTATGAGCCCCTTCTAATCGGAAACGGAAAGGGTCCTGAGCAGTACCAATGATTATACTAACTCTCAATATTTATGCGAATGTCTCACCAATTGCAAACTCGTTCAGATATTCGATCCTCAGTCAACATCTCCCTTTGACAGTCTCAACAACTTCTTCGCCCGATCATGAGCATGAAGGTAAAAAAGATTTCAGTTAGTGAGTAAACAGAATCACACTCATGTGTTTAAGGTCCACAGTTCATGTATCTCGAAGCTCCTCCTACTGACTGCTATTGCGATGAATCATGCCTCGCATTAGGGGACTGCTGTTCGGACTACACCTACGTCTGTCCACGTGCGTTCCTCTAAAGAGCGTGCTTGAATGCTGCTCTGGTCCGTCCGCATTTGAAATCACCTACTTCAGGCAGAGACTGTCGTGTATCAGAATGGGCTGAGTGGGAGCAGTGCATACCTGACGAAGGCAGCTGTGGGAATGGAATAGAGCAACGAGTCCGCCAAGTTATAGATCCTCCTGCAAGAGGGGGAAAAGAGTGTCCAGCGCTCAAAGAGATGCGTACCTGCTTTAAACAATGCACGATCAGACGATCACTTGACGGTTTGTGTTCGATTCACTTGATGTTTGCTCTCAAATTTGGTGTCTAGAATAATTTGAAAGCTTAATCATGGAAGAATTGACAAGATGTGATGAGGAATCACCTGATCTGTTCTCCTCCCCTTGTGAGTTGTCTTGTACCGAATGGTGTGCCACCCGAACGCTCAAAATTTTGAAATTACAGTGGAAGATTACTGTAAGTGTCGTGAAACTGCTATCGCCTGATATAGGAGCCCTGGTCAAAAACCGCACCTACCCTCGTATCTACACCCTCCCCTCCACCCGGGTGTGTGTAGGGTTGGGTGTCGAATGCACGTTGCACGGTTCTAAGCTAATCTCTATCGACGTTCTCTGCACCAATTAAGACCAACATGATTGTTACCATGCGTTTGGATTCGTGGTTGTGTGCATGCGATCTCTCACAGCAGATGGTGAGATTTTCATTCAGGTTAGTGGATAACCAGCAAAATGATTATTTTCGGTGAGTTTTTGGGAGAGTTTCTGGGATCAGTCATAATTTCGTATCAGGTGAAAGATGTAAAAAAATCTCTGACCAACCTTCAATTATCGCCACATGATCATTAGTGCTATGCAATTACGCTATAAGTTCAGCTATACGATCACTGTCTTGCAAATCCTTTTGCAATTTGTCTTTGGTTTTGGGAACCCTTTTTCACTTCAATCACAATATTTGATTACAGACTTAACAACTGTTGCGTTGATAATCGATTATCGATTCAATGACACTCGATCGAAAATGGCTCGGGACAATATCTACTGGGACCTTCCATCAGTGTACGAGAAGCTTAAGAAAGCCTCGAAGTACTGCTTTTCAGACTTACCAATTTTGCCTACGAAGAACTAAGTGGCCAATTTCAGTTACTGTGTCAAGTACCGCATCGGCTGGGTAAACAGGAATTGCTGGCACAAGCAGATCAAAACGCGGCTGTACAGGTGAGCAGACGGTTTGCCTCCAATGCTTTCGAATCTAACGCTTGTGTAAGATTGTGGGTTCCGAACAAAAGGCCCTGATTCACGATGACCCGGGCGAGTGTGCGACAACTGGTCTATACTTTGCGTGCCCCAAATACACAAGTCCAATTTTACAGGATTCTTCGTAACGACTAGGTCTACTGTGTCAGACTTTGCTTCGGTAGGTGTGGTTGCCTGTGGACTATCCGGAACTGCACGCGCGGGGGACGGAACTTTCACCCAGAACTGGATGGACGCGGCAAATGGTGCGGCGAAATTCATGGCGTTTAGGACGACTTTGACACCTATCACTGGGGCGCAAGCTTGAAAAGAGTACATTAGTATGGTTAGATGATCGTAATAATCGACTCTACTTCAAATTTGGGCCCTAGTGATAGGCGCTAAAGTCGTTTTAACCGTTACGAATTCCGCCGCGCGATTTGCCGCGTCCATCCAGTTCTGGGTGAGTGTAAGCATATCCGCCCGTGCAAGCATATCCGTCAACCGACAACCTTACCGAGGCCATAATCTATTGTGGTCGAATCACGTAGCATTCCAAACGGTCGAGGACAACGTCACCCAGGCTGCACCTGAAAAAAAAATTCACAAAAAGGAGTGACCAATGGTTTGGGCGTACAATGTACACGCAATACGCATAGACTCCACTGCTCTACGAGCACTTCTTCTTTCGGTGCTGGCGTAGCTACAAAAGCCTTTGAATATGCGAGAAAAAATGCTCCATTGCCGATTGCCTCCGCTGATAATGCATCTTGCACCAAAAGTGAAAGAAAAACGTGTGTGTACCGAACAATAATTTAGAAAAAAAGCCGATCCCAAGCAGCATCGCGACTATCGTGACCACGTCTGATGGTAATTTGTGGGGAAGCTCCCTCTAGCCACTGTAAATGATCGCAGATCTTGTAGGGAGACAGCACAACGTAAGTTGCCAATGGGAGCGCGCGGGGAAAAAATGCTGCTGCTTATAACTCTAGGTTCAGCCACCACCCACCTATTAACAAAGCCATAGTGCGAAGCCCTAGCGCAATGCTTTCCTGGAGAGACTTACACAATTCCTTCGAGACGTTGCGACTTCGTGCCTTCTACGCAACTCGAGCAAGAGAATTGAAGCAGATCTCAGCTTTTATCTGCGTGAACCAGCCGCGATAGATTAAGTGCACGTTGTACGTTAGCAGCTATAAAGACAGCTCAATCATTTCAGTCAGAAATGTTTCTTTTCCATTTAGGGGGAACACGATATGCGCTGAATGTCAACCGGAAGCCACATTGCACCGGAATAATGGCAGGTATATGTCCTTTCATGCCTTGTTTCTCGTAATTTTTTAATGATCGAGGGCAGCCTATCTTCCCACTTCGACAGAATTTCGAGTCAAAGTATTATGTCGGCAAATAAGTCCTGCGACAAAAAATTTGAAGCGTTGAAAATGAGTATCAACAGTGTGAATACGGTAGCAAGGGTGATAAACTTGTAGGACATTTCCCGGGCAATCAACACATGAGTAAATAAGGNCATGCTTAGTTGCGGGTAGGGTACACTTTGGATTGAATCTTCCCCTAGATGGACGTCGCCGTACCGTAAGCCACCACTTCCAGTCTATTTGAACTTGCTCTCGCCTGTGAAAAGAACTCTCCTAAAGCTCTAGCTCTACTATTTCCCAAACTGATGAACGGCTNCACGCGTGTGGGCTTTCGCAGCTTTACGGTCAATGAGTGGACAACACCCGATTCGTACCATCACCTTCTACTAAGCACGCCAAGGAAAAAACGCAGGTTTAGCGGCTCGAAATATCAGCATTCTATTCGATGCTAACTTTGCTCACCGATCGACGGTCAACAATCGGTTGTATCGCTTCACGGCAGGAGATACCAGTCTTCGAAGTAACGCAAGCATCGTCCCTTTATTCAATGGAGATTGAAGAGATCCATCCACTCTGAGATGCTAAACGTAGACTAGATGGGCACAGCTATCGTTTGCCCCTATGATCCCCTTTATTTAGCCGTAAGGGTTAGAGAAGGACGATCGAAATGTAAATCAGGTCCCTTTAGAGAGACAACGCACGTCGAAAATTCGGGTTAGTCATCGTCTTCACGTCAAAAGTTCAACGATCCCGCTTGGTTCCAGGTTACTCATCAGTCGTACTCCCAGAGTGTTTCCCCTTTTAACCACCATGTGCTCCGTCTTCTTGAGCATCCCGTCGTGGAAAAGAAATTCGTAACTTAATGTGATCTGAGAACGGCAGTCAATTACTGTTTTGAGTCACAGCTTCCCTACTCCTAAACAGATGGCATCAGTGATTGGCTCAAAGGATAAAAGAAGGTTGTTGAATTCTTCGGAAAAAATTCTCCGAAAATTGATCGATATGAAAAAACTTAGAAATGATCTGAAAGAGATCTCCATCCTTTCGCAGGACTTATTTGCCAAACCAACAATTATTTCTGTTGGGAATAGCTGCTAACACGATTTACCTATCTCGGATCTGTCTTCCAAATTTATAAAACGATTCTCGGAACAGAGTTATGGTGGTGTTCTTCAATGCCGGTCTTTCTTCAAGAAGAGGTGCAAGTGGATAGCAAAGGCAAAAAAGAAGGGATGGCGTAGTGGGAAGCCAACTAAATGAGAGGCGGTCGTTTGGCGCGGCCCTTCGTAGCCGCTTTGCCACTGGAGTGCATGGGTTTCATTTGCCATCCATGCAACGCAATTTCTAGCCTTTACCTTATGAATGGGTGCAAGTAGTGACGGATTCACCCAGTGTCCAATCTCTGGTCAGAGAACGACACAATTATGTGGGATAGGCTGTTATCAAGAAATGCTCAGCACAAACCAAATAGAGAAAAATGGGTGCTCGAGAGGTTTAGTAAGGAAATGTTCAGCAAAAGGGGATACCGAAATCATAACTTTTTATTCTTCTTATTCTTTAGCGTCTGCAGGGTTCGCTTTTCTGATATGTTGACGCCACTTCCCCCGATTAAGCGCTTGATCGGAGTGGAAGTTAACCGTCTTCTGGTCTACGTGCAACGGATCGAGCCATCGCTGCCTTGGACGTTTTCTAGGCCGATTTAGGACAGGTCTAGGTTGAAACCGATCTTACGGACACTGTCATCATCCGAGCGAAGAACATGACCGTAACATCTGCTCCGAGCATTTTATCGGCAATGGGCGCTATCCGAATCGCTCCCTGATGACGTCATGACTTATGCGGTCTAGTCGTGTTACTCTAGCTGCCCAGCGCAGCATCTTGGTCTCCACCACATTGAGACGGGCTTCAACCTCTTTGGTCGCAGGCCAGCACTAAGCGCCGTAAATTGCGACCGGCCGGATGACGGTTTTACAGTTTTTGAATTTAAGTCTCTCAAACATGTTCTCATCGCGGAGAACGCCTACCATCGAGCGCCATTTCAACTACGCTGTATTCACGCGACACTCCGTTTCAAGAACCGTGCTGCCGTCAGATGCATTTACCTATCCAAGATACTTGTTCGTGTGAGCTCCGTACCATTGATCTTTATACAGTCTGGCTCACTCGGATCGGTGATCATCGATGACTCAATCTTTTTGACGTTTCACCCGAGCCCGAACATATCCAGGCGATCGGACCAGGTACCCGTTGCTCGAGCTCACTTTTGTCGTAGCTGGCGAGTATCACGCCATCGGCGTAGAGTACCGCTCGTGGAGCCGGCTTCTGGAATCTCTTGTAATGGCATCCACGACAACAACAAGAAGTTGTGGGGATAACGCAGAGCCTTGGTGTACTCCGACGGAGACAGGAACCTGTCGATATGCACGCTGCCGTTTGTACTCGGCTCTTTGGGCTAGCGTAAAGAATGCGCACCCACTCAATGAGTTCTTTGGGAACCCCATGCTGCCGTAAGGCATACCATATAACGTCACGCGGAACGCGATCGAAAGTCTTCTCCAAGTTTAGAAAGGCAAGATGTACCGGTCTTCGTTTCTCGCGATGCTTTTTCAGTAGAAAGCGAGTGGCGTGTATGGCATCGATGATGCTGTAAACAGCCATTAAATCACACTTTTTGGTGGCCAGCTCGACGACGTCACGGATACGGCTGACTATAATTCGCTTGAAGATTTTCATGCTGTGCAAGCGAATTGGACGGTAGCAAGTGCAGTCTCCAGGACTGCCCTTCTTCTTTCAGATAGGAATCTTCATGCTCTGTTGCCAGCTTTCAGGCACCTTCTCCGCAAAAACATGGATGAAAAATTCCGTCAACCACCCTGCAGTAGTTCCGCCCTTTGGTTTCCTCAAGCCCGCCGCTGAGTCGTCAGGAACACTTGCTTTGCCTGATTTCATGTTCTTCGAAGCCGTAATGGTCTCATTCACGGTTATCTTCTGAACGGGACTGTCTGAGCGCAAGTGATCGATAGATGAGCAAATTTGACTGTTGAAATGTTTTTGAAGTACTCTCGCCATCGTTTCAATGTTTGCCTGCGGTCCGCCGAGAGATGACCGTTCTCATTTTTTTATCATATCATTTATGCCGGAAAACTTCTCTTCTCGCGAGAATCGGGTTTATCGTTAAGCTCAGCATAATGGGCTGCTTTCGCAGAAGCAGTGGCCTTTCACCTCTTCCTTCGCCATCGATAGCGCTGCCAGTTGTCTATTGTCTTTTCGAGAAGGTTTGTGGGGTACTGTTTTTTCTCGCGGACTCTACCTCTGACATGGACCGTCCACAGCCATGTTTGCTTGCCAACCTTTCGCCGTCCACGCTTGATCATCCCGAGATCTGAAGGCGCAACCCGGATCATCGCTTCGGCAGCTCCCTTCCAAGTTTCATCCACAGTCGTTACCGCTGGTAATAGAATGCTATAGACGACGGCCGCTTCTTTCTTCTTCATCTGCCACCACTTGGTTCTCATTGCCCCCACACCTTTTCGCCAGTTTCGGTTTCGGCGGTGCGATCTTTAGTGTACAAATCAGTTTTCGGCGTTGTGTTGCAACCGTTTCATAAGGAACCGTGTTCGCTTCTATCACAAGCCCTTGCCTGACAAGAACAAAATCAATTTGTGTTCTGTTCCCCTCGCGAAAGAAGGTGGTGAGATGAGAGCCACGTTTCCGACATTTCGTGTTTACAACGTGTTTACTTTCTTGAGATGGCGAGATAATGCGATTCTGCATGTTCTAGAATTCGCTCGCCATCATTGTTACGTGACCCATATCCAAAACCACCATGACAGCTATAACAGTCTTTCGTAGCACCCTCGTGAACGTTGAGGTCACCGGCGGCAACAATGGCTTCTTGTAACGGTACTTCAGCTGTTTTTCCATCGAGCAGGCTCCAGAACTTTTCCTTGGTTTGCTCGGAGCATCCAGTCTGCGGAGCACGCGTTGAGAAGAGATTGCTTTTTACGACAACATTAGGCGATCCTCGAAGCGTTCCGCGCTTTCTATAAAATCACGGAACCGTTCAGAGACTATTACCCAACGCCGTTGGTGGTTTTGGAGCCACCACAAAGAACGGCCTTGAAGCCGTGGCCAGTGTTCCTGGACTTGCAGTAGGACCACCTCGTTCCCTACACGGCACAGAAATCAGCCTAGTTGCACCCCGATGCCATACTTGCAACGGAGACCCTTGCATACTTTTCACACTGACCGGGCTTTGCGAGTGCGCTTCGGCTCCCGCGGACGCCGTAGCATTAAACCGGGATTCATAACATAACATTAACATTTTTGATGTGACGTGAGTGTTCTTAGGTCGGCCTGTCACGGTGGCCTGTCCCCTGCACTTGAATGTCAGCTCGTCCCACAGAGTGAGTAGTTCCCTGTGACCCCTTTGAGGAGCGGTTATCACCACACCATACCGTAGTCGTATCATGCACCAATAATTGCTTACTCGCTAGACTTTCTTTTCAGTCTTCTAGGAAGATAGTAGAAGTGCTACGGTATTCTGAACACTGTTATATACATTCATCATTTCGAGAACAATTAATTTTTTTTCTGATCCATGTAATTCTCGTTTTTAAACAAGGGTGAACGTATGATATTGTCGAGAGTAGGTGAACGTGTGATATTGTCGAGAGTAGAAAATCGTGTAAGCGGGACCATGCTAATGTCTGATATGAATGTGAATGAATTTGAAATATCAAGGTGATTTTCAAAAATATCTATTACTGATATAATTTACATGTAGGGATGGGCAGAACGAATAAGCCCTACAACATTTCACAATATTTTTACTTCCAACTCGATTAATGAGGGTAATTAAAAGGTTTAATAGCTCGTTAATCTTTGCTCCTAATCAGGGTCGACTCGCATCTGGGTGCAAAAAGACTCGACTCTGAGGTCAGTACTTGTTCGTATATCGAGGGGTTACATGTTCAGACTAGTTGCCCGATGCAGAAATGGCGCTGTGTAGGCGGCGACGAGGTGGGTATTGAAGCGCATGATTCCATCGGCAGTGCGGCTAGAAGGGCCAAACTCCAAATGGCAGTACGTCAATTAAATCTACAGATCCATTTGTGGCGCTTTGCCAACATTTGCAAAGCTTCGCTGACCTCTGCCTTAAAATACAGATAGCATTGACCCGAGAAAGACCGGTTTATTTAGGAATAGCAACATGTGAAACATAGAAAACTTCGATATTTGGTAGGAACGTCTTGAGAGCATCGCAACGGGAAGGCATCGAGTTTATTAGTTTTTCAATGATAGATTTCACATCCACTCCTTCGCTTCCTGAACGAATTCTTCCTCTTTGTTTCATCAAGGCTGATCAAAAAGCGCATTTAACGCTCTCCCGCATGTGCTCTACAGGATTCAGATCCGATTATGGCTTGGCCGCTCCGGAAGTCTGGCTCGCTGTTCGAGGTGTGTTTCGAATAGTTATTCTGTGACAGAATCTGTCCTACTGGCATATAATACCGTGCCCACGGCAGGAAGGTGTCGACTCCTGCTGTTCCTGTACTACTCCCCTATCATCGTACCGTATCGTCAACTGTTAAAAAAGGGACCATTCCGTTCGAGGAGAAGGCGCCGTATACCGTCGCACTCTCTCCTCCATGCTTAGTTGCGGGTAGGGTACACTTTGGATTGAATGTTCCCCTAGATGGACGTCGCCGCACCGTAAGCCACCACTTCCAGCTCTAGCTCTACTATTTCCCAAACTGATGAACGGCTTTTTGGCTGACGCCTCCCATACATACTAGCATTACCAGGCGTCTCCCTTCAGTGTGCTGACTAACAATAAGAATGGTGCCATCGCTAGAGCTGAACTGAGCGACAATGTCAGCCGCAATGAGACGAGGGTAGGCACTCGACTGAGGTGTAGTCCGTTTGTCCTGGACTGGTTAATTACATGGGGGTCTTCCCATTCTCTCGGCCTTGCAATGCAATCTGCTCCTGACCTGAAAGCGTTGAATAACCGAAGGAATTGTCTTTATGGAACCTCCAAACCTTGAATTGACCGTGCCTTTCGTTCCCAATTCCTCTATTTCTTTTGCTGCCTGCCAAACTCCCTGAGTTACTTCTGTCTTTCTATGCGTGTCTTGAGTGCACAAGTACTATCATCAAGCACAAATGGGATGCAAAAAAAGTAATTATTGCTAACCTTGCTAAAAGAAAAGATGGTTCAGTAGTAAAACTTCTGCGCGTAGTCAAGTGATCCCCAGTTTTTGATTCAAAAGTATAAACTAGTTTGGTTCAAGGTAGAGTTCGACATATCAAGATTTTTCGTGGATTCTTATTCTATAAAAAAGTTGCGATTGAAAAGGGGGCCTACCGGAGACTTTCGACCGCTACTGTATTTAAAGCCTGAGTAAAATTCTATATATAAAGCACTAATGTTTGATTGTTTTCGTGTGTATTCATGTACGTATGTGTATATGTCCGACCAAAATTCATAACTCCTGTTCCCGTCGACCCTGAGCGTGCAAACAGTTGGGAACACTTATGGTAGGTGGGAGGACCGGACCCCGACCATAGAAGGCGAGATATGCGCGAAGTGGCTCTAGGGCGCTTAAACTTGGTAGGAGGACAGGCGGCAGTATACGAACACTTATGGTGGGTAGAAGTAGCAGACTGCGGGGTTTGTGCGAAATTAATGTCTGACCGAAAATCCATTACTCCTGATTCCGTTAACTGGAGCGCAAAATCAAAAGGAGTAGAGGGTGCAGGATGGGAACACTGACGATAGAGGAGGCCTTAGAGAACAGGATCCAATTACCAATTGAATCCTAGCGCCTTTGTTATTCACGATCTAGCTTTGATTCTTGGATATGTTTCATTCGACAAGAAAGGTAAGTGCACTGATAGGGACCGATTATGAAATTTGGTTCACTTCTTGCTTACGGCCGCTACCCAGCGAAGTTTGCGATTCAGTAAAAGATCACGGTTTTTTTTCTGCTTCGATATCATTCACGGCAAAACTTATCCTACCGCTAACAATCTTGGACTCTCATTTAATGATGTATCCGTAGAGAAAAGAAGCTTTATTCATAAAGACATTTGATAATGGTATTATTATGACTCGACAACATTTGTGAGTACCATTCTAGGCTTTGAATATCCACCAGTTAAATCTTTAAAAAGTCATTATTTTCGACATCGACAGTAACAGATCGAGACAGATAGATTCTAATCAAAGGCATGGGCATCGGCACATTTTGAATATCGTTGGCATGCCCTACTGTTCCTCTATCGAGCTTCGTGTTCCGAAAAGCATCATTCATTCCAAAGGAGTGTGCCGTTTTGATGAGTTTTGCCGTTTATCACAACTCTTCACAGTATCACATCTTAAGAGGGAGGGAAGCCGACTGTCGCTCTATGTGAAGCGGTAATTGTGTGTGTCTGTTTGTGTGCCCGTTTGTGCGTCCTTCCGAAAGTCACGTAGGCACGACGAAGCGTGCGAATGTCGAGTGAGCGCGGTGAGGAAACAGTTATTAAACGGGAAGTTAACCGATGCTGTTCATATTGGTCCTCTAACAAGTCGTAGTTAAGCGGTAGTGGGCATGTGGCGCACGCATTAGCGCGCTCAGCCCACCTGGTAACATAATAACAAGCGAGCAAGCGTTGCAATCCTCTTCGTGTCAACAGTGGAATCTTTTCAACGACGGCAATGAAGGATGTGTCGTGGTCGTAGGTACTCTGTGACAAGAACTGATAACAACTGATAGGAACTGATAAGGACTTTAGAGAACAAAAGGGTATTCATGATCAAATACTGACTCTTTAAAATGTTTCATTCAATAAGACGGGTAAATGCTGTAACAGCGACCGATCAACACATTTCACCATAACGAAATGAGAATTTTGTTCATTCCTTGCTTTTAAACTACGACCGTTACGCAGTAAGCTTTATGACTCAATGAAGTGCCACGAATCCTTCTTGTTTTGCGACATATCATTTGTGACCAAACTCATCTGACCGCTAATGGGATTTGGGTTCCCAATTAATGAAATTCCATGAGAAAAAATGTTCTATTGATAACGACATCTGTGATAGGCGTTATTATCCATTTCTGGGTACCATTCAAGATATTGGTTGTCAATCAGTTAANTTGTCAATCAGTTAAGCCATCAATGTGACGCAGTTTCGAGATGAAGAACAATGAATCGAGACTTCCAATTAGTATATAATGAACTATAATACAGAAAAAAAACCGCTCCCAGTTCGGAGCTAATACTGAGGGTGTAGAGCTTTCGAGGAAAAATGAGAATCCGAAGTGTTATTTACGCATAGCAAGTTTCTTACAGAAAGGGGGAGCGCCCGGCGAAGCCGGGCGACACCATAAGAAGGAGGGAAACCCGGCGTCAGCCGAGCTTCCCGACTGGTATACTAAGTGTGCCTGTTGGTGTGTCGGTGTGTGTGTGTATCGGTGTCTATGTTTGACCGGAAATTCATAACTCCCGTTTCCATGGACCTAGAGAGTTCATAGTTGGTAGGAGCATGGAGGGCAGGATGGACACTCATGGCAAGCAGCAGGACCAGACTCCGCCTACATAGGGCAAGAAAGTGTACGATAGAAAGTTTGGGCCGTGAATTCATAACGACCTAAAGAGTTCTAATTTGGTAGGAATACAGCTTCTCGTATTAGCAGCTTAACCTCGGCATTTTAATAAGTGATCTGGAATATGACGGGATCGTAGGTACTCGGTGACAGGTACTGATGATAACTGATAAGAGAAGATAAAGGATCTAAGAGTGTCACTACCGATCGAAATCCTAACATCTTCGGTATCTAAATTGTAGCTTTGGCCGTTCAGTATATTTCATTCGATAAGACGAGATGGTAGAGCAGGGCGACAAAAGTGAGTGGTAAGTGCAGCGATAGGGACCCATTAGGGCAATACGATAAGCAGATTAGAACGTTGTTCATCTCTTACTATTAGATTACGACCGCTACCCAGCAGGGTTTGTGATTCAATGAAGGTCCTCTTTGCTCGATGTCATTTGCGACAAAACTTATTCGACCGCCTGTAATCTAGAACTCTCAACAAATGATATCTCCGTAAGGAAAAGGGTCCATTGATAAAGAACATCTGATAACGGTGCTATCATCACTCAGAACATCTCCACAGCATCATCTTTGACTGTCTAACAGTTGGATTTTTGATGTGTATTTATTTCTAAGAAGGAGAGCAAAAGTTCGAGACTTCCAATCAAAGGCGTAAACACCGACTTTAACCGAATGCCATTTGCGATGCTCTGTTTGTCCTGTGTCAAAATTTGTGTACAGGAAAATCTCATTTGTATCAATAAAGGAGTGGACAGATAGACTTACTATAACTTTATCAGAGAGTTAGGGAAGTGTTCGATTTCTGTTGTGTCAAAGAAGGATTCCGAGCTCTGTTTCAATTTCATACTCTCACTAGCTAAACAGAGGAAAAAAGCTTAAGATCTATAAACTTTGAAGGGAAAAATTCTCCAGTTCAACATTTCTCGTGATAGGATGTTTGACACAAGAAGGAGGAGAGCCTTGCGTTAGCCGGGCGATCCGACTGGTGTTCCAAATCTGCTAAACAATTCTGGGAACAAAGTCACTTGGACAATTCCTCCCCGTACTATACCACTACACTGAACGGATCACCGAACCAAGCAAACCCACTACCTGTCCAACGGTGGCCTAGCGGCTAGTGTCGTGGGTTTGTAAGCATGACATCAAGGCCCGGTTCCTTCATGCATACACTGGTTTTGCTTTTCCATAAAATGTGTCCCAAACGCCTGCAAAACGTTTTTTGGGCTCAATATTGACGATCTACGGAGATATCTCACATTTTAGGAACCTGGAAAGGTATTACAGGGGAAATTGAATAATTAGGTACTTCCTGAACTCACTCGCTCACTCATTATCAGTCAGAAATTAAGGAGAGAACACCATCATACCTTTACTCAGAGAATCGATTGGCAAAATCGGAAGGCACTTCAAAGATAAGCATTCGTGGACATGTCTGTGTTATGAGTCCCATAACCAGTAGTTACGTCCACTTGGGATCATCCCAAGTGGGTGTCAACGTCGTCCTTTATCATCATTACTATATCATGCTTGTGTTTAACTAACTCTTAACAGTTCACTCTTTTTGAAGGTGCGCATCCGATCTGGAGGATGGCGAGCAAGGTTTCTGGAAGCTGATCGGTCCGAAATCTTGTAACGGCATATGGACACGTATCTCGAGAAGCGATAACTGTCACTGCTCCCGGGACCATCCTGAACTGGATCCTTTCTTACTGGTCTGAGGAGGCAAATCACAACCCGAAATAGGCTTCTGCTGCTGCCGTTGAGCCACTTGGCTTCTTAATGTTGTCCACCTTGCACAACGTCAAAAAACGGGTACAAGCGCATTAGTGGACGTGAAACTCCACGGCACAGGCGCCGACGTAGAACAGAACATCGACGATCAATGTGCTTTCCGTTTATAACAGCCGAGATGCAGTCTTTCTAGTGTCGAGTAGATTAGGCGTTGGTGTATTCGGGTGAATAAGTTGGTCGCAACAGGTTGCTATAAACATCTATGTAATCGTCCAAGTCCTGCGACATCATTCCAACAAATCCGGACCGACTCTTGAGCTTTTCTGCATCACTCCTCAGTGAGTGAAGACCATGTAGAACTAGACATAGCAACGAAATTCGAGTGCGGCTATAATTTTCCAAATGTGTTAGCACTATGTCGGAAATCAGTTTTTCGAATAAATCGGTCTAAAAGATCATCATCCGATTCAGAACGACTGAGCTAGTTGTTTAACCTACATTGTAGCTCAGAATGCGTTCATGGTTGCTCCCGTAGTTTCACTGTTCGTCGACCTCGGAATACTCGCATCAAAACAATAAAACTGGGCGGCAGTAAACCTCGCAGCTACTCCACGATTCTTTGTGGGATATAACCAGGAACTAATAGTCGAGCTCGTGATGAGAAAGCAGTGCTGCTAGCGTAACGAATACTGGATGCAAGATTAGCTTCCTTTGCACAGCGCTTGCGTTTCGATGCACGTAGTCAGAAGGGTGTAGTACGTTGCCAAATCAATCAGTGCGAGCATTATCTAGTTGCCATCGCCTTTTTGTGCAGAACTTTGAGTTGATCCGACTTTCCTTTCTTAGGCCTCCGCTAATTTATGAATTCCGGCCTGTGTTTTCCTTGTGTTGATGTTCAGAGGGGGGCACCTAGAATGTGGGCTCAGTTGCGAATGTCACCAGGCACGGTTGGTCTTGTGAACACGTAGCAGGCTGCCGACATAAAAGGAGCACAGGTGTGCAAAGATTAGAAAAGCTGTTTATGTTGTGGCTGTTAGGCGGGATCAAGCACAAAAATGAATGTGTGCTGCAGGTCTCAGACCTTCTTTTGCAACATCATGTATTCATTATGGATAGCTAATTTAATGTCTAGACGTAATAACATAACGCATTCTTGTACACTCGCATCTGAATTCAAAAGAGTTGGATCAAGATCTTTTTAAACCGATTCGTTTGTAATTACATAAGATGTTTTACAAATTTCTACTCATCAACGATAGCTTTACCGACCGTCCAGGCGAGCGCATGTCATTGATTGGTAACCTGTCGGACGGTTTGTAGTAGTTAGTGTTAGTGCTTTCGTGACACCTAACATTCTTCCATCACCGACTCGGAGCGGGTCCAATATCTCATAAATTTGCTCTGACAATATTCAAAGAAGGTTGTGCTGCGAATATTCTAAGTGTCCCGGAAGGGACCTACGTTGATCTTTTGACGCAAAGTCATCAAAGCCAGCGTAAGCGTGAGTCTGTCAATAGGTAGCCAAGAATGAACGGTGTCACGAAGGTGTGCACATATCGCTTATCTTTCATTTGAACCCTGCCGCTTATTGCTTCGTTTACGCACTGCATGTAGACCATTGCCAACATTTCGGTGACTTTTTGTTTCATATGAATAAATGTTTATCTGTCGTTCCACCACATACCATTGCCTTACGGAGTTTTTTAGCCATGATTGTCACAACTTTTCGCTCCACCACTTCATTTGTCATTTCAGTTTCGAGTTCGAGTAGATCAAATAGCAAATACGTTTCCGCAATGTACCACGCAATTTATCAAAAATATGGATATCATGCACTTTTCTGACTTGAGCTATACTACGAGATTCGCTACCGCCGCTTATGCTTCACTCACAAGTTTGTTAGCCACCGCTAACATGATTGCGAGAGATTGTTGCCAGGCTCTTTTCCTATTCCTATTCAAAAAATCAAAAAAATTTGAGGCAAGACCATTAAGCTCCTTCCTTATGGGATACTGCGATAAAAAAACGGGTTTATTTTTCACAACATTATTACGATCTGTTCTGCAATGCGATTTAGACATACAGGTCCGGCAGGGGTCGGAAACATGCGTCCAAAGACAATCGGCGCAATTCCTGTATTGTCATTCCATCTGCGTCGAGTGGGTGCCGTAAGTGGTACTGAAAATAAGTAATATTATCCGCAAAATATAGATATAGAGTAGAAAATGCACTAAAAAAGTAGTGAGCATAGGATATAATCAGTACTCACTTCTCTGTGCAATTCAGTCCAATGAAAGCCAAGCTTGATGTCTGTACGTATTTTTCTTACAACCTTCGTCATCTGAAAGCTGTACTGTATGATAGCACGGAGGAACATATCTCAGATAGCCGAGCTCGTTTTTCGTACTTGAAAAGAAAAATGACTGAATCTGAGTCTACGAAATGGGGCTAGATCCGACACTGAGTGTGGGTAAACTAATGAACATGTGAAGAATAACCTTAAAGACACAGTTCAAGTTCACGTCACTTTCAAGGTACCCGTTTTTATTCGAAAAACGCAAAAATAAGTTGTGAATAGTTCATCAGTAGTGGAGAAAACGAGAGAATTCGCCGATTTCGAAAAAAATATGGCTCCTAAGCAATGGCGGAACATGGAAGGGATATCTGATCGAGATTTCAGTTGTCACAATTGCGCAAAGAGCTGACTACAACAAGCCAGAACTGTACAGAACTGCCTTCCACTGTCGCTATGGGTCATGACAAGTTGTTTGATCTTCCTACATGGGTTCCCTTGACGTCGGTGCAGCGTCCGAGGATACACACGGTGCAATCTTTGAGCCTTTATAACTCCTAAATAGGCCGTTTTCCGAGTTAATAGGGCCAGATATGGTATACGAGGGTACTTCATATTCATCCTATGGGGGAATCACAGAAGCTATTTTCATCGTTCACTATGCCTTTTAATGAACTAGGTTAGACATGAGAAAAGTTTTTTTTTTTTTTAATTGAAAGCTCTACTGGATAATTGTTCTGTTAAGGCATTTTCATTTGTTAATTTGTTGAACTTTTCCCTTTGAAGCATTCTAGAGCCCTAACAGGGCTAGTTGTTCTTGTGTAACATCGCCACACACTCCTATAAAAGGTGCCTGCTCCCTAGCTTAGGGACACCTTTGCTAAGGAAGTCCCTCCTTCATTTCACGTCTGTGGGACCGAGGAGGTGGGCTGAACTCAACGCTCTCTTAGCATCACTTCCAACCATCGTAGGCGCATAACCTATCCCCAGTCTTGCTTCCTAACCGTATCCGTAATAGACCAACTTGACGTTTCCGTTCAAACGGAGTGGAGCAGATTTTTACGATTTTTTCTTGCAGACCAACATTCTTCGTGCTGCCCTGCCGTCGACATGTCCTGTTTTCGCGACCTCGATTACCGTCTCGAGTAATGGATACTAGCATCCTTTCACTCTAACCCCTACTTTATATAGTAGTCTTTGGTGGCGCTCCTCACGGTCTAGAGCGGCTAGATCACTTCCTCGGTGCAGTAAACCATTTACTCTTCAGAGGCGTACCTCATAATAATTTGGATTCACCTGCACCTGAATACCTTTGGGTTTACCTAGTATAGGAGAAGCAATGGAAGTGGTGTTCAGCACAGTGCAAAAGTAGCGTTAAGAGCGCGAAAGTCGTATGATTCCAGGATAAATGAGAGTTCCATATACCAAGTATCCCTTCCATGCCACTTCCATCGTCCTTATCCCGCACAACCTCCTCCTTCAGCTGCTTAAAGGTATTTTGGGGTGGGAACGGGACTTAGTTGACTGGCTTGCCTCTTCGCGTTCAAGCTGTGGTTAGGTAGTTGTCGAGGAAATGAAGGGATGGTGGCCCCTTGCTTGAGTCCACCTTATCCGCCCGCCCGAAGTAGCAGTTGATTTCGTTTTTTACGCGTTAAGTTGCATATAGCAAAACCCCCTACATTAAGTCTAAGCTACTGCGTTCTGGACTAGGGACAAGCATTCGCTCGAGGAAATACCTGCCATTAAAAGAGAGGCAACAGCATGTGGCAGGGCAACCTGCCACATGCTTTCGCCTTACCACAGTGCGTTTCATAATTATAAGGTCACCCTCGATTTTTGCGATTGTGGAGAAAGCAGCCGGAATGGAATTTTTTGCCAAACACAGGAAGATTCCTTATCACAATGTACCTCCGTATTCAAATTTTGGTCGCAATATCCTCCACCTCAAATTTTTTATGAATTTTTTAAAGATAGTGTCGGCTTTTGCACCGTTTCATAATTATGTATAGTCACCCTGAGAAAGTAAATGATTTATTAACGTTGGTGGCATATGCCCAACACTTATAATTTACAGCTCCTCCCTGTTTGAGAGCAACATCAAAGAGTCTGCGTGGCATACTAGAAACTAGGTTTCGAAGATGTTCCTCGTCGATTGCTCTCTGCTTCGATAACTGCCCGCTTCCGCTCTTCTGTGCCCTGGGACTGACGGTTATTCGCATAAACCTGTCTGACTATTATACCCCAGATATGTTCCATCGGATTGAGATCGGGACTGCAGGCTGGCCATGGCAGGATGCTTATTTATTGGCATTGCAGCCACCCATCCGTTGCACGGCTCACATGAATGGAGGCATTGTCTTGTTGAAAGACATAGTTGAGATGACGGCGATGGCTTAGAAGGGTACTGAATGATGCTCCAACACGTTCTAGTAATCCTTGAATCTATACTTCAGCTCACGGCAGGTAGATCCAACACGACATCATTGCAGAATGCACCCCACACCATAGACTTCCTCCACCGATACTGCGACGGCTGAAGTAGACTGGTTCCTTTCTCAAGTCGCGTCAGTACCGCTTGTTTCCGTTAGGACCGTCTAGATTGAATTTCTTTCATCCGAAAAGACGACCTGAATAGAAATTATTCAGCTCTATGGTGAGATTTCGATGCAGATCTACCTTTGCCCAATCTCTC